AGTCCCCCGACCCTCCAAGTAGCTCATAGGTTTATTCCTTAGGCTTAGAAATGAATATCTCATAGTCATAGTTGAACCTTAACCCTGAACCCTAAGCCCTAAACCCTGAGCACTAAGCCCTGAACCCTAAACTCCGAGCCCTAAACCCTAAGCCCTAAACCGTAGGCCCTAAACCCTCAGCCCTAAACCCCAAGCCTTAAACTCTAAGCCCTAAACCCTAGGGTTTTCTCCGGAAGGTTTGGGGTTGCAGGGTGTGGGCTTCCTTGGGCTGCGTCTCCACGTCGTGGGTGTTACGTGATGTTTTCGTCTGGGTTTCTGGGATTTCGGGGTCCCTGAGCCCCAAAACCAAAACGCCACACCCCAAAACTCAGAACCCCAAGGTTAGGGTTCGGGATTTTGGACTTTGAGGGCTGTTTAGAGTTGGTGGTTCCGAGTCTCCAAAAAATACAAAGCTTCCGCGAGATTTCTTGAAGGAATGCTGCCCGGACGGAGAGAGCCAAAGCTACCTCAGCGACCTCTCAAGAATCTTGGACCCACACCTTCTTTGCCTCCTTCTGACAGAAAGCTGCCCGGCCCACGGTACAGAGCTTTCAGAGATCTTGTTGAGTGCGATTTAGATTGGAGGGTTTAGGGTTTAGGTCTGGAGAAGGGTTGTTTCACAGGGTGCTTGTAAGGGGTAGCATAAGAGGTGCTTTCAGGGGCATCGTGCAGAGTAGTGCAATTAATGTAGGGGCCTAAAATAGGGGTTTGGAGTCTATTCTACGATATTTATGATAAGAACCCCCCCAAAAAATAGTATGGGTAATTATTAAGGCCCCTACCTAGACCCTGAACCCCAAACCCTAAACCCTAAACCCTTAAGGGCTCAGGGTTGTTAAGGCTTCCCAGGTTTTTGTTGATGGTTTAGGGGGGTTTCAAGGCCCCAGGGTCTCAGGCTCTAGGGCCTTGGGTTTAGGGGTTTTAGGGTTTTAGGAGTTTTAGGGTTTCGGGTTTAGGGTTTAGGGTTTAGGGTTTGGGGGTTTAGGGGTTTAGGGGTTTAGGGTGCAGGGGGTTTAGGGCGGTTTAGGCGTTTAGGGTTTAGGGGTTTAGCGGGGTTTAGGCGTTTAGGGTTTAGGGGTTTTGGGGTTTTGGGGTTTGGGGTTTATTGTTTCGCACCCCAAAAGCAAACCAGGTTGTGTCATGGGCGCCTATTTTACCTTCAATGCGAACAGCAGCTACCTGGCAGAGGCGCGGCGTCGTCACATGCTAAGGAGTCACGAAGTCAAGCATACAGTTTCCGGGTTTAGCTCTTCGTGGCTTAGGGTTTAAGGGCTAAGGCTAACGTGTATCCTATAACTGAACGTTGCATCCTTGCAGAATTCTGTAGACTCAAAGCGGGAGCCTAGTTCTGTAAGGGTTTAACCTCGAGAAAGCCTGAAATGGCCGGCCGTGTTGCAAGCTTTTTGAAGTGATGGACCCTGAGTCAGTCCCAAATAAACGCAGGTCGTCAAACAGATGCTGCAGAAGAGCCTTAACTGTGGAACCATCATCAACCATCACAACAACTACCAGAGCCCATCCCTGTTCTGTAGGTGACAGTGTCCCCCAACTTGGAGGATCATGGGACTCAGTAACTAGGGTTTTACACAAGGTAACTATAATTATAACCCCAATTAGGGTACTTATAACCTTACTTACTAAGTCCAATGATCCTTCATGTACACTTCGCACAGCAAGCATCCCTTATAGATATCCCAACATCCACAGGTGACCTTCGGCGAGTCGGTAATTAATTCATCGGAGATCATGTGCCTGGGCTTTGTTGGGGTTTTACGGTTTAGGGGCTTGGGAAGGCTTTGGGAATGGTAAAGGCGAAGGGAAGAACAGTATACCGTCAATAGACATCATACGGACGAAGATTGTGAAAGACAGAACATAAAAATTGCCATAGCAGACCCGACACAGGCTTCCGCCTACTATGACTAGCCGATCTGGATTATGAGCTTGCTCTGTATAAGTGCATGTCACCAGGCACACGAGGGATGGATTCAGAGTTTCTAGCACGCCCCTGACATTTTAGATGATTTCGGGAGTTTAAGGCTTCTGGTCTTCGCAATTCGACGATCCATCTTGAGCTGCCATGCGAAGCCCCCATCCTTGCAAACAGGACTCATGACAAGTCCAGCCGGTCAGGGTCCTTGTCCGCAGGCGGCGCATGTGAGAAGGAAGGCAAGGTGGCTGGGCCTGTGGAAGGGAGGTTTGCTGGCACTGCTCTGCTGGGCCGGTTCCAACACAAGCTTGGCAGGCGCAGCAGGTCGCGAAGATGGGACTTGCTGCAGCTTAGCCACAGCTCCCTCTGGCACGTTGCTAGAACTCCACGCGAAGAACAAGAGACTGCCCAAGCTGAAAATCGTCTCGGCTGCAGCTCAGCTTCTGCTGGCCACCCCGTGTGCAAATCCATGCGACGGATTGCAGAAAATCGAAGCAAAGAACAAGGACCTCCGGAAGTTGCTGAAGAAGTTCCAATGGCCACGGCTGAAGTACTTTTGGGCAAGCGGACGTACGTACAGCCTGCCTCTGCGAGCTGAGAGCAGAGAGCTGTCACACCGGCCGGCGAACGCCAGGCTGGAGTACTTAGCCGGCTTCTTCGACGGGGATGGCTGCGTTAGTTGTCAGACGTGTCTGTCCGGATGCATGTTGGTGGTGGTGCAGTCTTGCGACCAGGCGGAAGTTCTCATGCTCTTCCGCGAAGAGCTCGGTGGGAGCATCTCGCGGCTACAAGAGGGCAAAGGTTTGAGAAAACCGATGCTTCAGTGGCGAGTTTGCGGGGACTCGGCCCGACGAGCAGCTAGGCTCCTGGCACCACGCAGCATCACTAAGCAGAAGCAGCTCTTGCTTGCATCCCCATGGCCCAAGACAAAATCGCGAAGAGAGGGCCGCAAGGCCGAGCTGTGCGCTCTGAAGAAGCACGATTCGGCGGTCTCTGGACCGTGCAGCTGGAGCTACTTTGCCGGCTTCTTTGATGCAGAGGGCTACATCAAGCAGAAGAACAGAGGAGCCTCGCTGAGTCTGGAAATCAAACAAAAACATCCCCGCGTGCTGGGCAGCCTTCGTGAATTCGTGGCAACTACATCAGGCATAGATACAGCATTTCGGAATTACACAAAACTGGCATACTGCGTACTTTGCGTCAGCGGCTTGTCCAACTGCAAGCAGATACTGCAACGCCTGTTGGAAGCCGGGTTGCTTTGCAAAGCGACCCAGGCGCAGCTCGCTTTGAGCCTGACACCAGAGAATGCGGCTGAAGTCAGCACTGAGCTTGCGGGTCTCACTGGGAATCAAATGTGTGGGAAGAGGTTGGAAACTGCAGGCCAAGAGCGGGCAAATAAGATCAGCGCAGCACAAAAGAAAGCTGCCAGCTTCAGTCGACGAGGACTGCACACGGAAGCTGAAACACAACGACATGAAGTTGCGGAGCTCAAGCAGGAGCACGTGCGACTCAAAGCTGTGCATGAGAACCATCAGTTGCTTGAGTACATACGCAAGCTGCAGAGCTTGCATGAGAATTCGTGGGAGGGGCCGCTTGCCCCCGGTATGTGACCCGAGGCGGAGCCAGCTGAAGGACTCCTTTTTGAGGGGTCTTTTTAAGGGTCCCTTGTTGGGGTTCAGGGTTTAGTGTTTGCAGTTATTGAGGGTTTGGGGTTTAGAACTAGAGTTGTATGAGGGAATCTACAAGGTTGTTGTGGAGGCAGTGGTCAGTTTGCTTGTGTAAATGGCGTGGATCATGATAGTTATGCGAGAGTAAATGATGCAGCGTTTCTAGATTTTTTGCAGTTGCTACGAGAGTCATCACTGAATTTGTTACTCAAGGTATACATATATATATATATATATATAACGCTGTGAACTTTCTGTTCCTGCACTGGCGACGAAGAAGAAGATCATGTTGATCATGATGGTGACGGCTGTGAGGGTGGTAGAGATGGTGCCAATGTTTGATTATCAAAATGTTGCATTGACAATGTCATCAGCACGGCGGTGGTAGCAAACATACTGTTCGTTAGAAGTAGTAATAGCAGCTGCAGCAGCAGCAGCAGCAGCAGCAGCAGCAGCAGTGGTACGACTGGAGCAGCAGCGGGAGGAGTAGTTGTAGCAGTAGTCGTATTTCCAGCTTGCTCAAATTGTAGCTGTGCTATGCCGGCTTTCGAAAGGCTACTTAATGGCTAGGGAGTCAAATGTGAAATCTAAGATACATAGGTACTTCGGAATCCGGCTTGGGACTTCTAATATAGAAGCCGAAATAATTACCAAGATTACTGCTAGGGTTCTGTATTATAATAATACTAGAAAGGAACCCTACATTAAGCCCTAAACCCTAAACCCTAAACCCTGAACCTTATTCTAATTCTGAATGCCCCTACATTTAGCCCAAGGAAGCCTCAACGCCCAGGCTCGTGTTTGGTGCGCTCTGTGGCATTGGCGCCTTCTTGATCGAGAGGCTTCTGATTTGTGCGGGGGCCTTTATGGTCTTCTGTTTGATTTCTTATGAAATCAAGACTGCTCCTGTAAACAGGGATTAGGGTTTAGGGTTTATGGTTTAGGGTTTAGGGTTTAGGGATCAATACTACTCCTGTAAAGATTTGTACTATAATAAGTATGGTATGCACCAGAACCTTTAATTATAAAGTCTACTGATTAGGGTATGTTAAGGCCCCGTATATCAGGCCAAGTCAGGAAACAACCGGGGCTTGATAATACAGGAGCCTAGTAAACAGTTTCCAATATTACGGTTAGGTATCTTTATTATTAATATACTATACAGGAGCCCAAAACCCTATTCTAATTATAAAGGCCCCTACACTCGTCGCTTAAGGAAGCAAGGTTTCACGCAGGGTCGAAGTCTCAACGTTTAGGGCTTCACGGTCTGAGAGGTTGAGGCTTCGGGGTCGAAGGTTCACGGTTTAGGGCTTTATGGTTTTAGGGTTTTAGGGCTTTAGGGTTTTAGGGTTTCGTGGTTTGAGGGTTTTAGGGTTTATGGTTTAGGGCTTTAGGGCTTTAGGGCTTTAGGGCTTTAGGGCTTTAGGGCTTTAGGGCTTTAGGGCTTGGGGTTTAGGGGTTTAGGGCTTTAGGGTTTTAGGGTTTAGGGCTTTAGGGTTGTAGGGTTTTAAGGGTTTAGAGTTTTAGGGTTTCAGGGTTTTAGGGTTTTGGGGTTTAGGGCTTTAGGGTTTTCGGGTTTCGGGTCCAGGGCTTGAGGTGTTGAGGGCGTGCGCCAATGCCTTGGAGGCTTCGGCTGGGCAGTGTGCTGCAGATGGCACGCGTGGCTTTGAGTCTTCTGGGCGCTGCTGGTGTCATCTCCCTGCTACTTGGCTCTGCAGTACGATGCTTTATGACTTTTTACATCCTGGTTTGGTTTCGCACAGAACCCTAAACCCCTCAACCCTAAACCCTAAACCTAAACCTTAAACCTGAACTACAGTTTTTCTATACCGTAGCTGTTCAGACTGTTATCACCCAGGCTTTCGGATCCTCCAACCCAGGGGTCGTCTCTGCAACCCCACAGAAGCAGAAACCCCCCCAGTCTGTTTCATTGGCAGGGTTTCAATCCATCTTCTTTCGAAAAGTCAGCACTAAATTCTGAACCCTAAACCCTAATCCTAACCCCTAAACCGGGGCCTTAAGGATTAGATTCGGGTTTCGGGGTACGCATTTTGCAGTATGGGTATGTTGTAATAGGTTTGCGAAAGGGACTTTTCGCAGGGATATTTGCCAAAACCCCAAACCCCCTTGATCCGTGATTTTCTTCGGAGGACGAACACTGCTTAATTAATTGAGCCAAATACTACCTGACATCATGCTGAGAAGCCCTCTCTGATTTCAGAGATATGCATCGTGTGTGGACCCCAGGAGACTGGTTTCGGGTTGAGGGTTTGGGGTGACTGCACATCTGAGGCTGCTGGGTTTTTTCTTCTCCCAGTTCCTCTGGGGATACCTCGCAGGGTCCTTCCTCCAGGCAGGGGCGCCACATGCAGTGGGCTGCACTTCGAGGATCAAGGGACTTAGTAAGCAAGGTATTTAAGGGAGAGTTGCGCATATTTGTAACCCCGATTATACGTACTTATAACCTTATTGGCTGAGCTGATCCTGATGTAGGGCTTACGTGTTGCGAAGAGCTGCCACGGCTTTGCTCGGATTTCACGGGGGTCGTCACCCTGTTCTCACGTTTTTCTTGATGTACGTGCAGATCGATTATGCAACCTGCCTTGTTGAGGGATTTATGGTGAAGGGCCGGTGCACCGAGCCCAGTCTACTCTTGCGCCAGTCGGCATATCTGCCCTAAACCTTGACTGCCATGATGTTTCCACTTTGAGCCACGGTCCCGGGGTTTTTACCTGGCGGCAAAAGCCACCGGATCCTCAAAGCAGAAACTCACCACCTTGATCGGTAGGGGTATAAGTGCCTTCATGAATTCAGATTATAAGTTATACACAATTAACTGCAGTTACCCTACTTATATCCCCAGTTGCTAAGTGCCATGATCATTTGAAACACACTGGACCCTCTACGTTCTACACCTGGACCGGGGGTGACGACTGGTGTGACGTTTCTGCTCCCAACCTGCTTGATCCCAGGCTCGGTTCCGGGCTTAGGGTTCAGGGTTTTTAGGGTTTTAGGGCTTAGGGTTTGGAGGTTTAGGGTTTCATGCTTAGCGCCTCAGATCCTTCCGACTCCAAGGCGAAGGCGCGTCACTGAAACCAAGCGTTAGAAAAAACCTGAGCTGTTTATCCCAAATACAAACAACCCTCAGAGCATCATCATATCAGCAAGCCTCCAAGGACAACCCTGTAAAACCCTCAAGCCCCCAAATTTCAAACTTCAAAACCAAACTGCAAGATTTCGGAACCCTTCTAGAATCCTTGTAGAACACTGAGTAAAGCCTATGCCCTAAACCTGAAAACACCCTTAACCCTTACGCCCTAAGCCCTGAGCACTGTAACCCTAAACCAGATAAATCTGCAAAATCTCTTCAATCCGACAGGCGTGCGTTCTAATGATGGCCTTGGTATCTGCCAATGTGCTCTTCTTCGAGCCCCTGGAGGACAACATAGAGGTTAGGGTAAGGGTTTAGGATTTAGGGTTTAGGGTTAGGGTTAGGGTTTGGGTGGCTTTAGATTGTACCATCCTATTATATTATAGTGCCTAGATGCGTGTACGCTATCATACCCCCAAAGCCTCTTCTACTCAGTATGGAAGCGTGGATAATTACCAACAGATTTCCTTACGGTTCCTCTTACAACTGTGATAAGTTAAGATATAAATTGATGCGATATACCCCCAAGCCCCATGCTTTTTGCACCTATTCTCAACCGTTAGAATCACCATAATCCATCGTAGAAAGCACCCTATACAACATGTTTCTATTGACTAAGGGCCAGTAGCACACCAACCGGGGCATTGCCACTGACAGCAGCTTTGCCGACTGCAGTTCATACACTGACGCCTGGAGGATATGTGATGAATGCGATGTGCGTCTTGCAGGCCGTGGACATCCAGCATCAAAGCCTAGACCCCTAAGCCCTAGACCCAAAATCCGACACCGCTTTAGCAGAATTTACAGTCTAAGCCCTAGGTCCCAAAGCCAGAATCCTCTCCGAGACAACTCCATGGAGCTACAGCCCCTTCATACAGCCTAAACCCCAGGCCCTCGACTCTTCACCCTAAACCACCCCAAACTCGGGGAGGGAGGAGAGCTGGAGATTTCTGCAGCTATCGCCTTCAGTGGTCCCTGAACCCAGGACCCCAAACCTTAACACCTAACATCCTGAATCCTGAAGCCTGATACCCAAACCCGCAGCCTCAAACCTACCCCCTTTGCAGTTTATTGGTTTTTTGTTCATTCCGAAGCCTTGAAATGGAGCCGAGAGGATTGTGCGGGCATGGCTGCCTCATGTGAGATCGTGGCACAGAGCCTTGGCTGTTCGGTCATACCATGAGGGTTAGAGTTTAGGGGTGAGGGTTTAAAACTGAGGGTTCAGAGTTTAGGGCTTTGGGGAGGGCCATTAATGTTTAAGTTTAGGGTTGGATTGCATGCGTGTCGTGTTTTCCTCTTAGTTGGCAATGAGACACGACTTGAGTGATCTACTGCTGGGGCGGGCCTACATATATAATAGCAATGTTGTTCCTTAGGGCGTGCAAGATATCGAAGGCTTCAACCCCAGGCGCTAAACCCAAAGAAGAAGCCCTAAGCCCCAGCCCTTTAGGTTTCAGGGCCCCTATTTGAACCGGTAGTTCCCAGCATGTTAGGAGCCCCTCTTGAAGGCTTCCCCGCCGAGCCAAGCTCCGGCGGCCTTTGGGGTGAAAGAGTGATCGAAACCCTAGGATTAAGCAACTCTACACCTTGAAACCCTAAACCCTAAACCCTAAACCCTAGGATTAAGCAACTCTACACCTTAAAGCCCAAAACCCTCATCCACAATTCTGCTTTCAATTGTCTGCCCTGATACCTGGACCTAAGCTCCTTTGAGGGTTGAGGGTTTGGGGTAAGACCAGGCGCCCGGGATTTGGTGTTTACTGTAGCGGCCGTAGCAATGAGGATTCATGAG